CCGGACGTAAGTCTGAGCGAGATTAGAATGGCTCTTCAGCACCTTAAAAACGGCAAGGCCCCAGGCGATGATGGAATTACAGCGGAGCTTCTGAAAGCGGGTGGAAAACCGGTACTTGGAGTCCTTCAGAAGCTCTTTAATTCCATCCTCCATGGTGGCATAACACCGGAGGCGTGGAGCAGAAGTGCGGTGGTCTTGTTCTTCAAGAAAGGCGACAACGCTCTCTTGAAGAACTACAGACCGATTCCCCTTCTGAGCCGCGTCTACGTGCTGTTTTCGAGAGTCATTACGAATCGTCTCGCGCGCAGACTTGACGACTTCCAGCCTCCCGAACACGCCGGTTTTTTAAAAGGCTTTAGCACCATAGACCACATACATACCCTTCGGCAAATTGTACAAAAGTCAGAGGAGTACAATTTGCCACTGTGTCTGGCGTATGTGGACTATGAGAAAGCCTTTGATTCCGTCGAAATTTGAGCAGTCCTTTCAGCGGTGCCAAGGTGACTGTCGGTATATCGAAGTGCTGAAGTGCTTGTACAGTAGGGCTACGACGGCTATCCGAGTACAGAACCAGAGTACGAAACCTATCCAATTGCAGAGAGGTGTAAGACAGGGTGATGTTATTTCCCCGAAAATCTTCACCGCTGCAATGGAAGACGTTTTCAAGCTTCTGGACTGGAAAGGTTACGGTATTAACATCAATGGCGAGTACAACACTCACCTTCGATTTGCCGATGATATAGTCCTTATGGCAGAATCGCTGGAGGACCTAAGCACCATGCTCAATGACCCCAATAGTGTCTCCCAACGAATAGGTCTTAGGATGAACATGGACAAAACAAAGATCATGTTTAATGTCCATATCACACCTATGCCGGTAGTTGTTAGGAGCACTAAGCTCGAAGTTGTTGACGAGTATGTTTACCTGGGACAAATAGTCCGACTAGGTAAGTCCAACTTCGAGCGAGAGGTCAATCGACGGATTCAACTCGGCTGGGCAGCGTTCGGGAAACTACGACACATCTTCTCGTCAGACATACCTCAACACCTGAAAACGAAATTGTACAACCAGTGCGTGTTGCCAGTGATGACTTACGGATCTGAGACGTGGTCCTTCACTGCTGGCCGTATGAGGAAGCTCAATGTCGCTCAGCGATCTATGAAGAGGGCTATACTCGGGGTTTCTCTGCGTGATAAACTTAGAAATGTGGATATCTGCAGTAGAACCAGAGTAACCGACATAGCCCAACGGTTTAGTAAGCTGTAAGTGGCAGTGGGCCGGCCGTGGCGCAGTGGCTTAGCTATTGAGTTGCAGCGCTAAGGGCCGCGAGTTCGAATTCCGCACGGAACAAGTATTTGTATGGCCTACAAATAATTGTTCCGGGTCTGGATGTTTGTCCTTGTGCAATTTATGTTTGTAAACTGCCCCCACGATACAGGAGAAAATCCTAGTGTGGAGGTTACGTTTTTTTAAGAAAAAAAAAATAGCTCGTAGAACCGACAACCGATGGGGAAGAAAGGTTCTTGAGTGGCAGCCTCATACCGGTAGGCGAAGTGTTGGACGACCCCCAACGAGATGGAGTGACGCCCTGGTAAGACATGCAGGAAGTCGATGGATGCAGGTGGCTCAGGACCGTACTTTGGGGCATTCCTTGAGGGAGGCCTATGTTCAGCAGTGGACTTATGAAAGGCTGTAATGATGATAATGATGAAGCTTCAAGGGGATGCAGAGCGTTTAATACAACATTTAAATATTAGTTCAGAAAATTACGTAACTTTTTGGGAAATGCTGAGTCATAGGTTTAACAACAAGCGACGAATTTTCGTATTACTCACATTAGCCAATTGCTTGGTTTCCCTAATATTCAGCAGCAGGCGATAAATCAAATAAAAAAAACATGATACAACTTTAGAGTATTTAAACGCGATCAAAAACTTAGGAGTAGACATTAAAACATGGGATCCGCTGTTAGTACACATATTGTCGCAAAAATTAGACATGGAAACATATACAGAATATATAGAATCGCAAAAAAGGCCGAGATCTACCCGTGCTACAGGAGTTTCTAGACTACTTAGAAAGCAAATTTACAACACTTGTTATGTCGGCGAAAACAAGAAAATACATCAAAATTAAACGTTCAGTCTCAATATAACTTCAATAATTCATCATCGAGTAATAATTACAAAAAGCAATTCAATTATAATCACAATACGACAAACAAACATATTGCAAAATCATATAACGTTACTGGATTCAAATGTCCTCTTTGTAATGATCATCATGGCATTTACAATTGCAAAACATTTTTAGCAATGTCAAATGAAATTAAATTAAAAACCACCAAAAATATGAAACTTTGCATAAATTGTTTATTTAGCCAAAACGGAAATCCATGTATTTCAACACAAAGGTGCCGTAAATGCTTGCAGAAACATAATACTCTGTTACATGACGCGTGCACAAAGTCCATATCCGGTACACAGGTAGCGATAAAACCTATCGAGTCCGTGACAAACACTTCGCACGTGTAACAAAATAATTTAGGAGAAGTTTTGTTATCGACAGCTTTGGTGAAAGTTAAGGCGTTAGATAGAACCTATCAGATCAAAAGGGCGTTGATAGATCAAGGATCCCAAATTTAACTCATTTCGGAAAATGCCGCACAAACCTTAAGCCTAAAAAGACAGCACTGCAAGGGAGTTATAAAAGGCGTCGGGGAAAAAGAAAACATTTGCAAGGGCATGTTAAATATTACGTGTACATCCATATTTAATGATTATTCTTTCAACACCAATGTTTATATAATGAACAACTTAATTAAACATTTGCCAAACCAATCGTTTGCAAAGCCTTCATGGTCATTTATAAAAAACATAAACTTGGCTGATCCTGAGTTTTATAACAGTCGTCCTGTGGACTTACTCTTCGGTGCTGATATTTATTCTATGATCATGTTAAGTGGCATTTTAAAGGGAGATTCATGTCAGCCTATCGCACAACAAACGCAGCTAGAGTGGTTGTTTTGTGGTAATGTTAAAACTTAAAACCCGAAATTAAAACAAAATGGGATCAACAAAATCAATGGCGATTGCACAGTTTCAGAGTTTCAATTTGGAAATAAAACTTGTAAAATATGATAATTTCGCGGAAAAATATAAAGCCTTTATTAAAGAATATCAACAATTGAATCATATGAAACAATCAGACGGCCATACGATGCCGGAGTGTTATCTTCCTCACCACGGTGTAGCGCGTGCCGAGTCAATGACCACAAGCCTCCGGGTCGTTTTTAACGCATCAGCAAAAACTTCGAGTGGATATAGTCTTAATGATTTAATGTATAAAGGGCCTAATTTACAACAAGATTTACAGTGCTTATTATTAAAATGGCGTCAATATAAATATGCTTTCAGCGCAGATATTGAGTCAAAAACTATTGGTCTGACCTTGATCAAATCCGTACGAGACCACACGAAAAGTATCAGCTTTCATATAAAAGACATGCAATGTTAAAAAAAACTATCTGCCAACAATTTTGTAATTTTGTAATGAAATGCCCACTTTTACACACTAACGGCTATAGCTCAGTAAGTAATGACATTAAGTACATGGTATGCTGATGTTTTAGAATACTTATGATATAGGCAAACTTTTTAAATGATTGGCCATACAAATCCTATACGTTTTTTTTTTCACCACATGTGCTCAAACTTAGCAGTTAAATAAAGCAAAAAATTTAAACTTAAGTTTAGAGCTGTCTTGTAAAACACTACCCATAGTAGTTGAAAACTTTTAAAGGTAATTTAGAAACATTACTTTTAGGGAACACATTAAAAGAAAATATCCGATCTAGGCATTAAACTGCCGCCTCCCCCCGCCCGAACACGTATGTACCAGATTATCCACCATTACTGGGACAACCAACCAAATTGGTATTTATGAAGTAATTTATAAGTATTAAAAAAAATTAACAATTGATTCAAAATTATTTTTTCAAAAATTTTACTGAGAATTGGTAGTACAGAAATAGGTCTATAATTAGCGGGGTCCAATATACTACCAGATTGAAATAAAGGTATTAAAGGCTTTACTATACTTCATTAAATCAGGAAACACACCAGAATCCATACAAGTATTAAAAATAATAGCAAGACGAGGTGCAATTAAATCTATTATGGACGCAATCACTGTAACGGAAATCCCCCACAAATCTGCGGTTTTCTTTGTATAAATGGTTTTGAAGTATTTTACAATATTATGCGGTAATACTTCTTCAAATCTAAATTCTTTTAACCCGGCGAGAATGTGGAGGGGTCAGTTTGACCCTAACAAATTTAAATCGGCTAGATTTTATATTTCGCGCGGGCGCACGTTTTCGAATGTCTCAGTAGCTGTCACGAATAGACCACAGCGCACCCCGCACGCCTCTATTTAGTCGGCCGTCGCCTGCGATGGGAGTTGGACGTGCGCAAAGCGAATAAGGGTGAATATGACCCCGCGACAATCGCGACGTAACATTTTTTTTACGATTTTTTATTTTTGTTTTATTTGAATATTGTTGTCTTTGTAGGTATTTTTGATTAAAATGAGTCGGCAAGAAAATCGAGATGAGTGGATACGTCAAAAATTGATGGAATCAGACAACGAAAATGAGTTCCTGTTAGAAAGCAGTGAAAATGAAGATCATTTGAGTGTACGCAGTTGCGGTAGTGATACTGAGCAGAACATAAGCAGTGAATATGACAGCGAAGATGACGTTCCGATATCGAGCTTGCGAAGCCAGAATCAAATTCTGCTTGAAGAAGAGGAATTAGATGCCCAGGTGAGGGATTCGTTTTATACAGGTAAAGATGGCTCCAAGTGGTTCAAAAATCCGCCTTCACGGCAAGTTCGGACGCGCTCAGAAAATATTATCAGACAAACACCTGGTGTGAGCGCAGAAGCAAGATTAGCACAGTCAGAACTTGAATGTTGGAGCTTGTTTTGTCCCGAAAATATGATTTCCATTATCCTGACTAACACAAATCTACAAATTCGAGAGAGAAATGCTAGTCGTGAAAACCTTCCTCACTTCATGATAGAATTAGAAATGAGTGAATTGAAGGCTTTCATCGGTTTATTGTATATTGCCGGATTTTATCGCTCTGGAAGGCAAAATACTGCAGATCTGTGGGCTTCCGATGGTACAGGAGTCGAAATATTTCGGTTGACAATGTCACGTCAACGATTTCATTTTATTCAGAGCTGTCTCCGTTTTGATGATAAATCTACGCGTGAAGAGAGAAAACTATTGGACAACTTAGCTCCTATACGTGAAATATTCGAGCTGTTCGTTGAGAACTGTAAGAAATCATACGTCTTGGGCGAATATGTCACCATTGACGAAATGTTGCTGGCATTTAGAGGAAGGTGCAAATTTAGACAATACATACCAACCAAGCTTGCAAAATATGGCATAAAGGTCTTAGCAATGGTTGACGCGCAAAATTTTTACATTTTCAACCTCGAAATTTATGCACGAAAGCAGCCAGAAGGACCATTTTCCGTAAACAATAAACCTTTTGACGTAGTGAATCGTCTAGTGCTTCCCATTTCAAAAACTGGGCGGAATGTTACTTTTGACAACTGGTTTACCAGTTATGAACTTGTGTCACATCTACTCAACGAGCACAAGCTGACTTCTGTGGGCACAGTGCGGAAAAACAAGAGAGTACTCCCGAACAAGTTCTTGAAAACGAGCGATCGTGATGCAGATGTTTATTCATCGAAGTTCGGCTTTCAAAAAGATATAACTCTGGTATCCTACATACCAAAGAAGAAAAAAGTTGTTCTGCTCATTTCAAGTCTCCATCACGACGCTGATATTGACGAAACTACTGGAGAGAGAAAAAAACCAGAAATAAACACATTCTATAACTCCACTAAAGGAGGAGTAGACGTTGTAGATGAGTTGTCCGCAACTTATGATGTAAGCCGCAACTCCAAAAAATGGCCTCTGACTGTGTTCTATGCAATTTTGAATATGGCAGGGATCAATGCAAATATTGTATTCAAATGTAATACAAATTCAACTCAAAAACGCCGTAATTTTATCAAAACTTTGGGCCGTATGATGGTAGCCGAACATATGAGTGCTCGTAAAGAAATACCTCAGTTGTCCAGCCAGCTACGTAAAAGAATGAGAGAATTTGGAGGAGAATCTGCTCAGGAGACGCCTGTAAGGGTCCCAGGTGTACGAAAAAGGTGCCAAGTGTGTCCTTATGCCAGACATCGAAAGACGAGCAATGTCTGTGAAGATTGTCATAAGTACATTTGTCCAGAACACACAGTTTCTTTTTGCCAAGAATGTGCTGCAATAACTGACAATAATATTGAGTAATTATAAGTTTTTTTTTATTTTATTTTATGTGAAACTGATTGATCTTATTGTTGATTACCAAATTATCTTAGTTAGTTTGTTTTTTTACTTATATTCTATGTTACGTTGTTTTATGTACGTAAGTGTTGAAAAAACTTGTTTGATTTTTAAGTATTATAAAAGTGTGAATAATAACTAAGTTTTGTACCAATATTGATGTTTATTTTTATTTACATGGTAAAAGAAATGCCTATTTCCTTTCATTATTATGTAAAAGTCACAAAAAAATCAAACAATTTCGAAAACAATGCAATTAAAATACAGGGTCATAGATACCCTCCGCAACCTCCATGTAATTATTTTCACCACATTCTCGCCGGGTTAAACAGGTTTTTTTTATAGAATAGGGTGACAAACGAGCACACAGTCCGGCTGATGGTAAATGGTTGCTGTGGCCCATAGACATCTACATTTATCATCGTTTGCAAATCAAAATGCAGATGCGTTGTCACCCGTGAGGACTAAGTTAGAATGCTTCTTTTCCAGTAAAAAGGGTCTCCGGTTCTCTACACTCACCATACGAAACACATCAGCATGAAGCTGCTATTTGACGCTGGTATTCTGTGAGAGCGTGGTCCTTCCCCGGTCGAACCGACCCATTAGTGCTACAACTACACTACTAATATAGCTGCAGCATGGCTCTACCACGTAAAAAATCGTTATCGGTAATTAAAAATATTATTTCAAAATGCGTGAAAGTTAAATGTTTCTTGGGATGAAAAAATACCAGAAAACATACAACAAGAACGGCGGAAAATTCGGAGCGATATGAATGATATTCAAGAATTTGAGATCCCTCGATGGATAGGGTGTATGTAGGGAAAATTAAGTTGTCGAGTTACATGGTTTTAGTGACGCATCAGAACATGCCTTTTCCTGCGTCGTTTACGCAAGGACAAAAAATCAACCTGAAGCAATACTTTTAGCGGCCAAAACACGACTCGTACCAAATAAAAAAGAGATATCATTGCCTAGGTTAGAATTAAATGCTGCTCATTTATTATGTAAATTGATAAACAAAATAAAATGTGGGATACCAACAATGGACAAAGCCACTTCGCGCGCGCACACGGCCATCGGAATACTTCGGCAACCTTCGGAATTTACGTCCGTGACATTCACCATACTACCTAAGACATAGTGCAGTTAAGAATACCTAATCGCTACATTGGTGACCCCGACGATGGCAACGGATGATAAATTCCAAGATGCAGCTGCTGGAGAATCCTGCAGAGTTAGTGTGCGACCTCCGCCTTTTTGGCCTGAGGAACCAGGTTTATGGTTTGCCCAAATGGAAGGCCAGTTTATTTTATCAAATGTGACGTCTGATACAACAAAATTCTACCACGTTATTGCACAACTTGACCACCGGTATGCAACACAGGTAAAGGATATTATTACTTCACCGCCGTCAACAAACAAGTATGAAAAGTTAAAACGGAACTTATTAAGCGTCTTTCTGCGTCCCAGGAGCGTAAGGTTAAACAACTTCTCATGCACGAGGAGTTGGGCGATCGAAAGCCATCTCAGTTTCTAAGACACTTACAACATCTTGCCGGACCCGCAGTTCCTAATGATTTTTTGAAAACCCTGTGGTCAAGCCGTTTGCCAGGAAATTTACAAACAATAATAGCATCACATGATTTGCCATTAGATAAGTTGCCAGATTTGGCAGATAAGGTCCACGAGATTGCGCCAACCACACTAAAATTGATATCTGCTGAAGTTCCCAATCTATCTGTATTTTCTAACGAAGATAGAACTCTATGTATATTGTCCATTATATCACACAGAACATGCCTGGGTTACAGAAGAAGAAGAAGCCCAAAGATTGGCGGGTCCAAATTCCTGAAGCGTAGGTTGAATAGGTGGGTAGGATCGAGTCCCAAGTTCCAAAGCCAGTCGTAATGAAAAGATGAGGAATTTAAAATATAAATAAAAAACTTAAAATGCACACAATATCAATAAAAAAAGCTTCTCGTTAGAAAATAGAAACAGTGATTTGACAGCGCGCGCGACCGGCTGATCGAACGTTTCGTTTCTATCTCATATTTTTAAACTAAAATGAGTTAAATGTACTTTTATATCTCTTTAAATTCGCCTGTTTTCTACTCCATTTAATAATAACTTATTTATGAAATACAATTTGGACTATTTTCGATTTTTAAATATATATATATATATATATATATATATATATATATATATATATATATATATATATAATATATATGTACAATTTCGTTTTAAGGTTTTGAGGTATGTCTGACGAGAAGATGTGTCGTAGCTTCCCGAACGCTGCCCAGCCGAGTTGAATCCGTCGATTGACCTCTCGGTCGAAGTTGGACTTACCTAGTCGGTATATATATATATATATATATATATATTTAAAAATCGAAAATAGTCCAAATTGTATTTCATAAATAAGTTATTATTAAATGGAGTAGAAAACAGGCGAATTTAAAGAGATATAAAAGTACATTTAACTCATTTTAGTTTAAAAATATGAGATAGAAACGAAACGTTCGATCAGCCGGTCGCGCGCGCTGTCAAATCACTGTTTCTATTTTCTAACGAGAAGCTTTTTTTATTGATATTGTGTGCATTTTAAGTTTTTTATTTATATTTTAAATTCCTCATCTTTTCATTACGACTGGCTTTGGAACTTGGGACTCGATCCTACCCACCTATTCAACCTACGCTTCAGGAATTTGGACCCGCCAATCTTTGGGCTTCTTCTTCTTCTGTAACCCAGGCATGTTCTGTGTGATATAATGGACAATATACATAGAGTTCTATCTTCGTTAGAAAATACAGATAGATTGGGAACTTCAGCAGATATCAATTTTTAAATTTTTTTTAAAAAATAGTACGTATTAAAAATTACATATACGAGGACTCGGAAGTGGAAAAGGGAGTCCTGGACTCCTGCCGCGTGGACTACGAGCAGTTCCTTTCGCTTACGGACGAGACGGCGAGGGCCAAGAACGCGGAGGAGGCGCGTGAAGCTCGGCTGAGTGGCCTGCTCGAGTCCCCTCGGAAGCCGCCTACTCCGCCGGAGCTGTTGGGACGACTACCAACGCTGGACCTGCCAAGGTTCTCCGGGGTTCTCTCCGAATGGCTGACTTTCGTCGGTCTGTTTGACAGCCTGGTGGACGTCCGTAGGGACTTGATCTCCAGTCAAAAAATGGGGTACATCCTGGCATCATTGGAGGGGGAGGCCCTGGGAGTCGTCGGCCACCTTAAGTTGTCGGACGACGCCTACCAGAATGCCAGGGACCTCCTCGCCGAAAGGTACGCCAACGTCCGGCGGATTGCGGACGAATACGTTCAAAAGCTGCTGAACCTCCCGCTTCTGAAGGACCGGACCAGACTACGTGAGGACATCGTGAATCCAGTCGTGGTGGCTGGCAACTCGTTGCGGCGGCTGGATTTAACGGTGGACGAGTGGTCCTTTTTATTACTCTACATTGTGGTGTCCCGCCTGCCTCTCGATCTTCGGCTCCATTTTGAGGAGAGGTACGGCGTGAACGGCGCCTCGTATATTCCCCCCTTTAAGTACCTGCTGCGGTTCCTGGAGGAGCAGTGCAGGCAGTTGGAGAACGCAGCAGGCGCCGTCGAGAACCCCCCGATTGTCACCCGAGCGGTGCCCAGGGAGAGGAGGAATTCGACGGCCAAGGTGTCGCCAACCCCCCTGAGGCCGAGCGGAGATCCCGCGGGAGGGCGCCGCCCCTAGCGGCTTGGGAGGCGCCCCCCTGCTCCTATTGTCGAGCCGCCGAACACCGGGCAACGTCCTGCCCTAAGTTGCTGCTTAAGCCGGCCCCGGCAAGGCGAACCATCGCCAGGGAGCGCCGCTGGTGCTACTCGTGCCTGGAGAGGCATCTACAACGAGACTGCCCGCACCAGCGGCCCTGCACGCACTGCCAGGGCAACCACCTGGGTACGAGCGGCGCGTCCTCTCGAGGCCTTGCCGGCCTCCCGACTCCAACGGGCGGGGGCGCTCAGCCACGCCCCCTGTCGGGCGACTTTCAGCGCTCGCCTGTCGACCACCGCGCCCCTCGTTCTGAGGAGGGTCCCTCCCCGACCGGTCGGGGAGTCGTTCCCCCAGGTGCGGGGGGGGGGGGGGGATCGTCACCCCCCCTCAGCGTGTTGAGAGGAGCTTCGCGGCCACTCAGCGGTCAGCTAGACCATTCTCACCCCCGATGGCTGAGTGGCCGCGACTGGAACGCCACCCTCCACCCTTTGGTCGGTGCCGGTATTACCGGGTTCCTGAGACCTCGTATCTGTCCCGGGCCTCGGGGCCGAGGCTCCCCGAATATCCCCAGGTCGGCCCGTGCTGGGAATTCCAGCCGCGTGTCATCGAGATGCCGTCGGAGTGCCGCTCTCGGGGCCCCCGGTTCGGGTGCCGGTCTGACAGAGGCAGCTCCACATAGTAGGCTGCCGCCCTAGCTCCCACCTCGGCCGCCTCCACTGAGCCTTTGAGCCGTCAGCAGTTTACCTGTCAAACTGTTCTATTGCCGACGGCCTCAGTGAAGGTGTACAACCCGAGCGGCGACCGCTTAACGGTTCGAGCTCTATTGGATTCGGGTTCACAATGTAGTGTGGCCTTCACTTGGTTGGTGCGAAGACTGGAGCTCCCCTGGAGCTCTGAATCACGTCCGATGGTAGGTATCGGAGGTGCCGAGCCTCATGCTCCTAGGGGACAAGCAGAGTTGGTGTTCAGCCCCGCCAGCGAACACCTTCACATTTTAGTCAAGGTAAATGTCCTCGATGACATTGTAGGTTTTCTCCCTAACGTCCGTATAAATGACAGCGCGGTTCGTTGTGCGTCGGGTTTGAGACCGCCTGACCCTCAATGGTCCCAACCTAGGCCTATAGATTTGTTGCTGGGGGCCGACGCGCTGGGGTTCATCTTGTTAGGCGAGATACGAGCCCTACAGCCGGATAGCTTGTTAGCCATG